TTACCACGTAAGCTTTAGCTCAATACATTTTCCTGAACAATAAAATAGATTGAGAAAATAAACGATTAAATTTAGGCGATTAGTTCATCTAGATGTTTTATTTTCCCTTTTTATTTGTGTTTTGGCAAATACATCTTTCAGTTTTATTTTTCTTGTATTACACTTTTTATAAATCACTGTACATTTAATTCTGAACCTTAGCTTCACGAGCCTTTCGTTTTTGCTTATGTGCAGGTATAATATTGAATCACCTACCTAAATAATGAGATAGCTGTATGACTGTGCCGTATGTAGATGTAGCATTGAAATCTTGAAAATATCACAAGTGGTGATTTTTTTGTCCAAAAAAAAAAGAAATTCCTGTGTTCTGTTGTGTATTACAAGAACTCTTCATTTGAAAGAAAGAAAACACATTCTTAATTTGATTGTACATAATTTTACAAGCCCATACTTCACTTTTAAACAGTATGGATACTGGTTTTCGGTTTTTGAATTTAAGCTTCTTTGTTATATTTACTTCTCTCATTTATATAGTATGAAAAGTAATTCATTTCATCATTAATTTAATAAATATCAAGAATTAAACAGTTATTAAATATAATAAAATGTAGTAAGTCAAATAAGCTTTATTGACCCATAAAGTTATTCTTGTTTTGTCTGTTTTGAATTTCGTGCAAAGCTACACGAGGGCTATCTGCGCTAGCCGTCTCTAATTTAGCAGTGTAAGACAGCTAGGGAAGGCAGCTAGTCATCACCACCCACCGCCAACTCTTGGGCTAATCTTTTACCAACGAATAGTGGGATTGACCGTAACATCATAACACCTCCACAGCTGAAAGGGCGAGCATGTTTGGTGGGACGGGGATTCGAACCCGCGACCCGCAGATTGCGAGTCGAGCGCCCTAACCACCTGGCCATGCCGGGCTAAGTTATTTTTGAAGATAACTTTTTTTTACATTGACTTAAATGTTATAAATGTGAATGGCATAATGATAAATCTTATTCATGGGGATTGAAAGGTTATTTTAGCTTTTCGATGTTCGTATTCACTGTTAATTAAACATAATAATAATAGTTTCAATTACCTATTTTTCTGATAAATTCAATGTAATTTAATACTAATCTTATTCAGTTAAGTTAAAGAAGAAATAGTTGACTTAGACTGGTTCACCACAGAAAGTAAGGGAAGTTTTAATTGGAGTTTTGTCACATGTGGGAAAATAAAAAAGATTAAATACTATCTAAAACAGTTGGGACTGGAAGAAATACTCACCATTAAATGTCATTGAAACGTATATAGGGAGGCTATAAAGTATGTAAATAACCATTTACTTGCTCCATTTGTTCAAACCAAATCTTTCATTATGTCACCAAATTATATTACGCTCATTATTCTTACTAATATTACATGAGTGCTGCAACATATTTAAAATAATCAGATCTGTTTATATGGTAAAGTGGGCTCTTTATTTTTAAAAAACTTCTGTAAATTCTTTGGGTTATTTCTTCGTAGTCATTCTAAGAACAGGTTCTTGCATTTTTAAAGTAAAATTTAATATTATATTGCACAGAATATAGTTATTTTTCTTGGTTTTACATTAACCTTCAAAGTAACATATGAATTTTTAATATTTCTCTTCTCTTCTCTGAATATTGTTGTACACTGAGTGGTCACAAGTAAATAGACACCTAATTTTTCGTTATTTAATTGATTTATGTTAACTAATTTGTATTCACAGAGCACTATATAAATGAAAATGGTCCGTACACTAATTATCTTGTGCTACAACATGCCTAGAACTCAAGGTTCTCTCGAATTGTCAGATTTTGTTAGAGGAAGGATAGTTTATCAAACACATGGTGGAATAAGTCAGCGGCAAATTTCGCAGAATTTGGGAATCCCGCTTTCGACAGTCAACAGAATCATCGAGCAGTTCAGGAAACACGGCAAGGAAACAACTGAGCAGTGTCCGGGTCGTCCTGGTCCAATAGAGAGGACAAAAAGGGCTGTCAAGAGGAGCATCGAAATGAATCCCAGATTAACGACTGCACAAGTGGCCAAAGTTGGT